TTTAAAAATGTTAATTCGACCCTCAAAGTCCTGTCGCAAAGAAGTAGAAGTTGTGGTGCCATCTCTTGGAAGAGACACCTGACAGAGACATCTTACCTGTGAAGATATACACCTGCGGATAAAATTTTAGGATCTGAATATCGATCACTGAAGATTATCGAGCGTGATTGACTCTAACATGTATAGCATGAGTCTTTCATATCCGGCATAATTAATATTTTTCTTTAACATCCTCCTGTTTTTTTTTCTTTAATACGTGGATGGAAGATAAGTTTATACTTTCTAAAAGAAAGTTCTTAAATTAAAATTAATACTAGTTTAATATTATAAGTCTTTGATTGTAGTTTGAAAAAGTTTCAGTCACGCGGTATAGTATTTGGGCAACAAAGACATTGGCTTAAAGTATAAAAAAAAAAATAAAAGATTATCTCTCTCTGTACATCTCTTTTTGTCAAGGCAGTGTCATAGAATTCGTGGAGTTAATTTCACTTGCGGTGCGGTTTAAAGTAATTAACATGTTAATCCAATAAAAATTTCGTGTTATCCATTTACATTTAAATTAGCGTTGCGTCGCGATCGGAAAAATAATTGTTGAAGATTGCTGTTATGTCATAATAGTCGATACTAAAAAAGTTTGTTAAAAACACACTGCAATTTTGCTGCGGATGACACTTAAAGTAAGAGTCTGTTGTGTATTGTGCGTTCATCGAGCCGTTAACAAATCACGTGTTTCGAGTTTTACATCGCGCTTCCTAGCTGCGTAATAGTATTACACATTATCGGATTATGCAATAACACAAAGTCATAAGCGAGACGCGCTGTTTTAAGGCACCTTCCCTGAAAATTGCACGTATTATCGCGCCGATCAGCCGATACGGTCATTTTATGCGGTAAAAGGGGGAACGAAGCAAACCTCGTATTAAATCAGCTTATTACTGCCGTAAAAGTGTTCTAATCAGCAAAGATGCGTTACGTGCGGTGCGTGCGTGCGTTCATTTATATTTTGTCCTTTCACTGTACAATGCTGCAGTCAGGCAAAGCACGCGGTCTGATCTCTCGTTGCACTTGCTGGCCATCGCCGACCACTTTCACGCACGATTGCGAACTCGCAGCTCCGAAGAAGCGAGACTCGTTGCTGTGAGAAGTGTGCCGCAAATTCCTGCGACGGAAATTACACTCGACAAAAAAAAAGAAAAACAAACACGAATAAATATGCACACGTTGCACATATTACACGATGTGACCTAAAATTTGCGCTTACACTTCAAATTATCGGGGTTTTTGATTTTGTCGAGGTTTTTTCTTAATGTCATTGGCAAGCGCTTGAACGATAAGGATCTTTTATGAATTAAGAGTTTGCGTTGATAATTTGTTAACAATTACCGATCGATAAAAATTTCTGAAAAACTAAGACAGCACGATTTGAAAAGTTAAATAAAATTAATGAAACGACAAGACAGCGGGATTTTTAAAGTTGGCTATCGCAAATGTCATCGCTCGGTAAATGGAAAAAACCATCCATATCTCGTCTTTCGTTTATTATAAAGAAGCCGTTTGTATTCAAGGCGAATTCGCCTTGAATACGCGCCGAAGTTCTTACAACGTATTACAAAATCTCGCATGGAATGCGCAGTGCGCAGTGCGCGTTGAAACAGAACTTTGCTCCTGCTTGCTCTCTCGCGAAGCTGCTGCGCGAATTGCGCATAATACATCGAAATATCGCGCGATCGTTAATTCCACGGGATTATGCATGCGTAAACGGCGCGGACTTTCGTAGAAACCAGTCGAAGAAAGTTTCGCTGGACCGTAAAATACATCCGGCGTGTATGCGTAAATTTCGATGCTGTGTAATTAGCCACTCTCGAGAAATGAAATCAAATTTGCCGATGTTTGTGCACGTGTGCGAATCCTCAAGTTGTTCGGTATACGTGTCACCCAAAAGAAATCTGCTATATCTTAAAAATTTATGCTATATAAAAATTCTAAAGATAATTTTTTGCATATTTGCATTTTGCATTTTTTGCATATCTAAAACGCATTTTTAATTTCGTCAGAGTTTCATTTATATTTGCTTTCTACTGTCATTTTTTTTTCTATACTTTCTACACGCGAAAAGTGGCCACGCTTGTGAAATCTGCCAGCTCCCTTCCGTTATTTTTATTGTTCAATGAATCGTGACTTACCTATGTGGGAGTCCATCGCTCCAGCTGAACATCCTCTTTATCTTCTGCCGCCGTTGCTCATCCTCATTCTGAAATCCCTTGTTATCCATCGTGTACGTTGCAATTTCGTACAGTTTTCACTTCGCGGGCGACCTGGGGCGGGTTGAGAAATTTCGCGAGAACTCGCGCGCGAGAGTCCCGTGGCAGATTCAACAGTGACGGCGCATCTTTTGTTTCCACTTAAAAACACGTCACCCGTGTACGAGCGCCACGCTGAAAGGTAAATAGATTATTGAAGGTTTCCTGCCCACACACACTACTCATCGCGATGCGAACGACATATTAAATCATCAAGCAAGATCTTGCTTTGGGTTCACGTATTCAACATGATATCTTTTGCTGTAATCGACATGGAATTTTTTTTTTATTATAGATTAAAATAATTTTGCGCAATATTTTCTAATATTTAACTTTAACTCTGCGAGTAAATTAACTTTGGTCTGTAGTGTTCGAGTCTGGAGTGTTAGAATTTTTTTTTATTTCATAAGATCTGCAGATTATTTAACGTCAATTGCGTACGTCTCGAACATTCTTCGATTGCTCTCGATGACTCGCTCTCCGTCGCGAGGAATATTAATACATATTTACTTTAATAAGTGTGCACGCTTATTTGTAACAATAGTTGAAAGTGAAACTTTGAACGTAGCTTTACCGCGGTTGTGCGAGATGTGCACGCTCGAGGTCATTAGGAAGAAAGCGTGATATATAATGATCTGTCGGCTACTTGAATAGAAAATACAGTGACGTTACTGAAAATAGCGATCATTTTCTTTGGCTTGTTAGGATATATCTCGGACATCACGGGAGATACGATGCAGCGCGGGCATGCGTCGCCTTCGTTGTCGCCCGGCAATCGAAAGTAAGAAATTGCAAAGGTGTCGATCCAGTTCTTTTATGAATGTTACTTAATCCAGCCTTTATCGAAAACATTTAAAAACCATTGAAGTTAAAAAACTATATATATATATATAAGAAATTTTGTTCTTGCGTGTTAAAAAAATGAAATATGTAATAATGTTCAATTTAATCATATATTTTTTCATTTTTAATATAGCATTTTTGAAGTGCTAATTAAGTAATAATAATGACAGTAATAAGACAGTAAGTAAGACAGCACGATTTTAAAATTATGTATAACAAGAATTAATTTTTTTTAAATTTGTAAATTATTGATTAATATAATAAAGAAAACAAAATTTATTCTTGATTTTAATGATCATGTTGCAATTATATATGAAAAAAATAAATTTTTGTTATATATAATTACACAATTATATATAATAACATATACAACATGATTAAAATCAAGGATAAATTTTGATTTCTTTATTATATATCGATAATTTACAACAATATATTGATAAACTACAGCATAAACCAAGATATTATTATTATGGATTTGATTAAAAATGCATGAGATGCGTAAGAAGATTGATTGGCAAATTTTTTTCCCAAATATCTTTACAAACGCGCGGTAATAAAAATGTATCGTAATAATTCTTCCAGTATCAATAGCGCGTGACTATAACATTGTTTTATGCTAGTTATTCATATTTTTCTAATGATTCATTCATTAATGCATTTGTTATAAGCAGTTAAGTCGGTATTCAATCACTATTGTTCTATTGTTGCGCATTTTGCAGTCTCACTTGAGTGACGCGGAAAAAGATGCGATTGACAATTTAATCGTAATGTTTTAAATATGAAGAGAATTAAAATAACACAAAAATCTCTGCGTGCATAACATCGTGGATTATATGAATATAATTTTATTAATAAAAATAAAAATTCGTCGATTTTTTGCAGTCGCACGATCGGATCTATAATGTCGTCAGAATTTTGTAGGACTGCGCCACGCGCAATATCTTGAAAACCACTCTGACATTTCCCACCAGTAGCATATTTGCATATGCAATGAGAGATTTTAAGGTCTCGGTCCTGCGTGAAAAATATCCGAGACAACTTTGTGAAAGTCGGGAAATGCCGGTCGCGAGAAGATAAGACTTTTGTACGCGTGATAGTTTCGCACGATCTTTCTTCAAGAAACAAAGAGTAAGTTGGTCGCGATATCGAATGTAAACTTTATTTTAAAATTTATTTTTAATTTATTTTTGTTTATTTCAAAATAGAAATAGGAATTAGTTTAGAGACTTTTTCCAGACTTCTTCGAAATAGGTTTACAGACGAAAATAATTTTGCTTACTTATATAATTTTTATTAAAAAAAAAACTATAAATTAAATGTGCTAATTAAAACAGGACAGACAACATTTTTATTCTAAAATCGAAATAACTGTTATTTTAATTTGTAATATTTTTTGCGTCCCGACATTTCCGCAATATACTTCTTTTTTTTTGTTGTTTTGTTCTACAAAAAATATACATGACACGGTTTTAATTTAATTTATACGTTTTAGTTATTTATATTCTTTTAAAACTCTCGGACTTATAAGTTCTATGGTATAACCGTTATCTAATGAATCAGTTTCATATTTGGCACGAGACGAAACAATTTCACTTTCTATCTTTTAGTTTCCGTCTTCTTCTTGCTGAAGCTTTCTTTTTACTTCGGATTCAAAAGTTTGCACATCACTTTTTAATATACTAATTGTTATAACAATATTTCGCAAGCTTGTAATTTCTTGATGAAGTAACAGTCATATTTTAGTATTGATTCTTGCAATTGTCAACGCGTCGAAGTATATAGAACCTACTTTCGAGTTGTTACAAGAGCAATACCGGAATCGCTTATGGAGGTCAGCAAGTGACCGTATGATATTCGTAAATGTCGCGAGTCTGCCTGATTAATTAGCAATATATCGATACTTGAAAACATGCTAAATGTCTTCACGTGGTTGAGAAACATAATCCTGCGAAATAAAATCCTATTACCACAAATCACATAGCACAATCGATATTCCCGTTTTATAGATTGCAAATAAAATCTTAAATCGCATAGAAATGTGATAATTATTCGTCCCACTTTATTATAATTTTCATTAATAAAATAACTATTTATCAATTAGAATGGACTTTTTAGACTTTTTAATATTCTGGCATAATTAAACAAGCTTTCTAGTCGTATCAATAAATTTTTACGGCGTTAAAGATATCTAATAATTTTAGTTTTAATAAAAATTTTTTTACATAATGTAAATTTTTTACACACAACATTTTTCGTTGCATACACATGTGAGGGACACATATGATCTGTTAATTTTCTACATGAAACTAGTCGAAAGATATTTCTCTTGATTACGCATTGTGGAAGCGGAAGGTACAGTGTATGCAATCGGAAAACAATGATCACACGTGCTACTAGAAAGAATGAATTATTCGCATCACGCAACTCGGCGAATAGGAGCGACGTTGCCGTGAACAATTAGACAACAATTTATTAACACCCAACCATTTAACAAATTGTGTGAAAATCAGTGTGAAAAATTGTCGATTTTTAAATCGTTATAATTTTGCGAAACGATCGTGCAATAATTTGCTTGAGAGATCCTTTTTAAAGAATAAGTCTCTACTTTTATTTTCATTTGATTTTTCTTGAAGATGCTTTTGCATTAGGAAACGAGGAAAATTCAAACAAGATTTAAACTTCCAAAGTTTTCCAAATTAAAACAACTCTGAACTACGAAAAATTTTTTCGCGATTCCAATTTGCGTGATTTTAAAGATTTAAACCTGTTTTTATATAAGCCGTTTTAAAGAGCAGGTTTTAATCTTCAAATTTGTGTGAATTTCAGTTGCCAAAAAAATTTTTTGTGACTCAAAGTCGTTTAAATTTACAAAATTTTTGAGATTTAAATTCTATTTGAATATCATATTAAAAATCTATTTTTTTGCCTCGCTTCTTTTAATACAAAACCATCTTCAATGAAAATCGACTTATGAAAGTGAAAGTAGAAGCTTCGCCTTTTAAAATGACAAGTATATTATTGTACGATTTTTTTTTTGCAAAGTTATAACAGTTTAAAAATCGACAATTTTTCTGCAGAAATTTAGTAATTTTTAATTTTGCTGTTTAGTGCATCTATTTTTCGATATCATATTAAAAATCTATTTTATATACAATGTCTATACTACTAGTACATACTACTAGTACATTATTGTAAATTATAAAGTTATCCATAAATTTTCAATTGCATATACAAAATACAATAATGCCACATAATTGATGTTAATAAATAAAATTAAATAATTGATTATAAAAGCAGGTCTTTTGTGTAATGTTAGATAATTGACAGTAAAAAATATATTTTATACGATCTCAACTTTAATAATCATAATACTCTGATTGTTATAAAAATATGGTATTAACTATTGCGTGTTATGTATTGCTAGCCGTTTATTAACAACGAAACGTATCTAGTCTGTCGTCGACTTATTAGCGAGACACCTGCACAGTTTACAATTACTCAATAGTAAGATATGTGTACATAGTGTAATCTTTGATGTTGAAATATGCACAGATACTAAATATTTTATTACACTATTCAACATATATTTTACACAAGTTTTAATAACAGATTTTAATTGATTTTCGCGCGTGAAGTCTAATAAAAACATTTGTGTCTAGAATTTTACATGACAATTTCATATAGTTTGAAAAAATTTTGTTTGCGATTTGTATAAAATAATTATTGTTAAATTTATTTATTTATATTTATTTGTTCACTTGTTTAGCGTGTTTAAAATTGTTCAATATAGATTTAATCAATTTTTCATAAAGAGGTTTATGATGCCTCTCGCTTCATGACATCTTTTCTTGATTCATATTTTCCAGTTAGCGATGAAAGTAGGAAAGTGCAGCGTAATGTATTCGAATTGGGATCAGAACTCTTACTGAAGGCAGCACTCTCAGAGATTCAAAGAGAATAATTTCTAACACGTGTTCTTGTACGAATAAATATTAATATTCATGTGCTAACTACATAATCGCGAATTCCAGTGCTGTGCTAGTTCAGTTTTAAGAAAAGATACCATCTTGAATTTGAAAAATGGTGTGTTAGGTCTATTTAGTAATATTCTATTTGTATTGAGAAATGCATTTTTTAGAAGAATCACTTTGATGAAATTATCAGTTGCTATTGATCAGCAGAATCGAATTTATAATATCAAATATAAGTGATCGCAGACATCACGTATACGCACTTTCTCCAGAATTCATTTTGCACATTTTTAACCTTTGCATACTTTCAGTTTTTAGCTTTAAATATTGTGCTTCAGTTTATAGCTATATCTTTACGCTTTTTAAAATTATTTTTTATTTTCAATGATTACTTTTATCGAAAGACAAAGAAAATTAATTTATAGAAAATAGGACTACTTTGCACGTAAAAAAGTTTTTGCCTTGGATAATCCAATTTTTCACATTGAAAAAATACGACGTTCTATTTTGGAGAACGCGATTGTTCACTAGATTGGAAAACGTAATTATTCCATGTCGAGAAGAAAGTGACTTATCACTATTTTCGCGGTGGTATCGCACCTTTTCTCGGAGTATCGCGGGACACGTTCGGGACCTCGTTTGTTGCCTTTCGGTTCGTCGAGCTCGTTTCGTCAATTCTCGCGCGGGGATCTCCCTGCGGCGTGTTCGCGGATGCACTGTTGAGGAGGAACGATTCTGAAGCCTAGCGCGACCGCGGATACGCGTACGGCCGATCCGTCTGAACGTATTTCTCGCACTGACGGTACGGAGTCCGGTTGAGCAACACACGTATGAGCGCGCGGGTGCACGATCGTGCTCTAACCACTCCGCGGCGCGCACACATGCACGCTCGCGGGAAAGGTGTATCCACGTCTTCTTGCCGCCGCGTTTACCTGACACGGCGAAGTATACAGAGTCGGGCTCTTGGTCAATTTACACTACCATAACCAAACAGGCGGGCGTATACTTGGGTAGGAATGCGTTTTGGATCTGCAGGATAGAGTCTGAGAAAAGTATCAAGAGATGAATGACCCTTTTGAAGGTTAGATGATTCATGAGACCAAACAAATAATGCAATTTCTTGATCACTCATCTCGAATCTTGTTCTCCTTCGGTTGCCCGTAGTCGTTGTATACGCTGGACATGGAAATTCGATAAAATATATGCATTTTAGAAAGCAGCGCATCGAACTCTTTAATATCTGGCATATCTGCTTCTTCATAAGAGAATCAACCGCAGCTAGAGTTTTAAATTAATCTTTCGATTGAGCAAACCAAGAAAAAGTTTTTAAAATTCGAGCCAATGTTACTATCGTCAATTAAATATTGCAAAATATTAAATTTTATTATGAGACATTTTTAAATAATCTACATGTACTTGATATATGTAGATATATGTAAAATGATATCGTTTCTAAATCGTTTATATTAGTCGAAGCATTCGCAACTTCATTTAAACACACCAAGGATGCTGACCTATATACGTACATGCCTCTTGCTCTGCAATTAGATGATTATATAAGTATTTTTTTTGTTTACATGTGTATTAATGTTCACCGATACATTGCACGCATTTTTTATTTATGATTTATTCATGATTTCTAAGTAAACTGTGTTTACACATGCATTTATCTTCTAATATGACATACGCAATAGCCGTAGTGTGACATATGCGATCTTCGTTCGTGTTGACCAGCCCGTGTTAACGTTTTGTGTTCTTTGCAGTAACGTACGTTTATATGATTAATTATATAAAAGGACAGCTTGACACATGATTATTTAACGTAGGAAAGTTGCTAAACATATCAACGTTTACTTTATCGCACATATCGATCAGATGCGAAAGGCTCCCAAGGGCGTCCTACTTGCAGACCAATTACTATAATTAAATGAATTCCAGACTTTACTTCAAGTCAAGAATCGTTTGAACTAAGAAAATATGGATATTACTCTTTTTATAATCAGTGAAACGAGAGACTCATTAGGATGCTCGAAAGAGGCTCGCTGTTGGAAAGTTCAAACATCAACGTGACACAGAAAAGAGAGAGAATCTTTAAAAATTGAAATAAAATATTGTGCATTCAAGTATTTCGATGTAAGAGTAATCTGGTCGAATCGGTACAAAAACTTGTCTATGGCGACATAAGTATATGTATGTGGATAACCAGTTTTTACATGTGCAGTTGACGCTCGCCTGAGAGCGCTCGTGTGTCTGTGAAACTTGCTCCTTGACCGTATGTAGGTATACGTACACTGGCACATTAGTCACTTTCGTTTCGAATCAACGATATCCCAGCACACACATTCCCAATCGCGAGCGTGTGTCACGAACGAAAGTGCACCGTCTACGGCCTCGTGGCCCCATAGTCTTCCGCGTACGCGGCCATTTTACACAAGAAGCTTTTTTTTTCTCAACAAGAAGTTATAAAAATATTATCACGAACTAAGGATAATTTTCTATATTATTTTCTTAAAGTTTTTTTTATCATTAAACAAATTAATTTCTTATTACTTATGATTGAACGAATTAATTTCATAAAACGATTTATACGTTACGCTAATTATCATTTTTAGTTCATATTATTCAAATATTTTAATAATCGTTTCTCGCGTTGCAAGACTCTATTTATATTTATTAGTGTCGTGAAAAGAAACAAATTTACTTATTCTTGAATTGTAGATTTCTCACTTGTGAAAAATTGCGGGAAGAAAGATTATTTTGAAGGCCAATTCTTGGTATACATTTAACTAACCGTTTATTATCCGACAATTGTACGTTGCGAGATAGTCGTTTATTAACATCATTCGCATTCCGGCAATTTTATAGTCCGAATAGTACAAAATACTGTATTTTTGCTTGTCTCTTTGCAAGACATTCATGAAGACTGCGAACTTCGTTAAATTCGATACACTTGTCTCTTGCTTAGCCCGTTAAATTTGGAATAAATGCTAGCTAGCTAGCTTAATAGATGCGCAATTATTAATTTGCATTTGTAAAGAATTATTACTACGTTATTATTATTCGTCACTAGACTCAAGTGAGATGAATACGGAGATGTATCAGACGCTGAAATAAACAAAACATATATCTCTTCTATTGTTTTTTCTCGTGTATATTGTTTGACAATTTATTATTTCTTACCACAGGTAAGTCGCAGGATCTTCGCATCACGTTTAATGATTTGATTCACGTAACGCGATACAAATACGTCCGCGTGTATACGTGCGCGTCGCTTTAAGTGTTTGTTATTTCAACGAGGAAAAAATTACATTGCTTGATAAACATAACGAATTATAGTTCTTATTATTCATATTATTATGCAAAATAGATTGCTGTTTGATGAAGGATCATGGTGATTATTGGAAAAAAAATAAATTACACTATTTGCTTCTATTTTCTGGCAAAATCAACCTTACATGTAATCTCTAATTGACGTGATTAGATTAAGAGAGAAGTTGTGTATACGATATGATAGATTTATGCCGATCCAAGAACTGATAAAATGAAATAAAGATAGAAATAATGAAACTTTCAGAATGAAGAATGAAGTGTCTTTTACACATTTAAAAAAGAAAGAATATTATTGCATAAGACTCTCTTTAAAAATTGATTTATGGAAAGAACATAAAATTTATCGATTATGAGATCGCGGTGTAATTGAGAGTAATATAGAACAATTAATATAGTTTAAATAATCGTTTATACACACTGAACAGCTGCAATCAAGTTGTATAAAGTATAAAAAAGGTCTGGGTATTATCGGAAAATGATTGTCATGTCTCGCGTGTACGATAGTGGCAAATATCGGCCTTCTTCGTTATTCATCCTCAAAATCTTATGACTCATGGAAGTAAACGAATTCAATGCATTGAACTTGTGTAGCAGAAAAGACTATGATTTATTGAGTCACTTTAGAACATAAAACGCTATGAAATAAGTATTTACAGCAACATAAAATACTATGATGCGTTATTGAAAATGCATACTTTAACTATTTTTTGAAAAATAATAAGTGGAATAAAAGAATATCAACAGTTTTTTTTTACTTTGCTAAATACTACAGTTTGATCATTATTGTCATTATTATACTGAGAAAAACTAAAATTGTGTAGTAAAATAATTATAGTCCAGATACTTATTTTTATAGAAATTGCTATTACTTCAATTTACTTCTATTAAATAATTAGAACATCTATAAAAATAAAGTTGACGCTAAAATGTACTATTATAGTGATATTGTTACAAAGACTATTATAGTAAAACTATTGTTACTGCAACAATTTTTTTTTCTTTTAGTATAAGATATTGATCATAAATCGTCATTATCATATTCTAGAGCTTCCATTTTTTCTGTCTAAGCATCTTCAGGTATGCCAAAAATTCGAAATCTAGATATACCACCATCTGGCTTAATTATTATTCTCACCCAATTAGCAATAGAATTCTGATTTTCTTTCGCAGCAATAATTTGCTCCGTGCCCGGATTTATCTGTAAAATTATTCGAGTTATAAAAAGAATATTGCATATGATTATAATTTACTCATACTGACATTTTACAAAAATTTTGTGCATTTGTGAAGTTACATTGGCACTTATCATTTTCATTAATATGAATAAATTGAAATAGTAGAAGTGATTAATTAGAAGCGCTAATTGTGTATTACAAATATGAATTATATTGTATGATATAGTAAAATCAGCCAAATACTCAAAACGTGAAAAATTAATTAAATGTAGCTCACATGAACATCCGATATGAGTTTTTCCCATTTATTGTTTAAATTGTCATTTGTTTTGCTAAAACATTTTTGCACTTGTACCATGTATGGAGCATTGCCAGTGAAAAGTTTTGTATTGATAACAACATGAGTGATTGTGCCACTGCATCCCAACTTAAATACAGCCCAAGATCCGCCCAATATCTAAAATTTTTATGTTAAATTATTGAGCGTAAATAATAATTATTTCTTTATGTAAAGAGATATTTTATTAATATTGATGTAAAATACAAATTTCACTAAAAGAAATATTTATTTTATGGAATTTTAAATAATTGACTGCAATTTCATAATTAGTGCTTGATATAGTTTTATGTACTCATCGAATGACGTTATATTTAATTTGTAGTTTTTGTTAAGGTTTTTTTAC